TGTTGAGAGAGGGAACTTTGTTTGTGCATGAATTTTTTTTGCATCACGTATACCGTCGTTCCATAATCGTAATAGAACTTCTCGACTTTTTTTTTGCTTCGGCCGACATATCGAAGCACGTCTCTACGAAAGTAAAAAGGTTTGATGAAAAAAAAGATTGTCAACGTAGCACATGTGTCTTGACTTCCTTTTTATATTAGAAAATCTTCAATTGGATGTTTCACAGAAGTTTTTGTGAACAGGTTTTTTTTTGGACCAGACTGTATTAAGTTTAGCAAAAAAATTCAATAAAATTATGAATTTGAATTTTTGAATAATTTTTCATAATAAAGAACATAAATAATATAATAATAAAATTTTTTAAATTTTTAAAATATGCTATTTAATAAATAATTTATATTATATTTATTATAATAAAAACTATAACATATAATAAATTACTACTATATAAGTTGATGAATCAAAATTTGATTATAAGAAATATCACAGAGAAAGAAATATTAAAAGAGTTTGAATTATTACTGGTATTAAAAGAACAGAAATGAATTCAGTCATAAGCAATGGTTCGAATTATTGAAAGCTCTGATATAGTCAAGAAAATTTTTCATCAAAAATTGAACATGAATTTTAGACATTCTATTGTTTCTATATCGATACTTAATATGGAGATTCTTATACAATGCACATATTATTATTATCTATAACTTAATATGGATTCCATGCACTTAATATGTAAAACGTGTGTACAATAAAATAAAATAAATAAAAGCCTGTTGCGAAAGACAAATTGATTTTCCTCTAAAGATATCGTTTTGCTTTTATCTTTATAAATTAATTAGCAATAATATAAAGTTAACGTCATGCATCGCTTTAAAAATTTTTATAAAAACATCGATTACAATAAGCAGACCATTGAAATTCCTGGGACGCGTAAAGATGGGCAAACAGGTAAAATATGTTGATTTTTTCATAAAAAATTTCAACTTCAATAATCATTGTATTAAATTTAGGCATTTTAAGACATCCACTCACACCCAACGGTTTAATTTCTCAACCATGTCCAGAAGTGGGCACGATTTTCGAGGCATTTCAATACTGTATGTGATCTAATCTAATATTGCTTTAAGTAATGATTATCATCATCATTATTTTATAATTGCTCTTGCAGCATTCCAACGTTTTCCTAACCGGCCATTTCTTGGACATCGTCCATTCGACAAATCGACCAAAAAATATGGTGATTATGTTTGGCAAACTTATTCTCAGATCAATGAACGTATAAATGAGCTTGGAAGTGGAATTTGCTTTGTCCTTGAAAAAGAACTCGGGCTCAAAAAGAATGTTGGCTCTACTTTGGGTGTTTGGTCTCTTAATCGTCCCGAGGTTTATAATTCTTTCTATTTACCTCTCTTCTTTAATGCAGTATCTATAATTAATTCTAACGAATATAAATAAATAGTATCATATCGTCAACCAAACTGCTGCTGCGTTTAACTTTATAACTGTTCCGCTTTACGAGACATTCGGTCTCGACACAGTTAGGTACTGCGTGAATCATGCAGAAGTCCATACGTTAGTTTTATCGGAAAATCACATTCGTGGTTTATTCAAAGTACGCTCAGAAATTCCAAAAGTGAAATTGTTAATTTCGATGAATCCTCTGGAAGACATAAATTTAAAGAATGAGGCCAAAAAATATAATTTAACTCTTTACGAATTCAACGAAATTGAATTCTTAGGCCGAGAACATCCATATCCGCACAACCCACCTAAACCAAAAGATCCTTCAACAATTATGTATACATCTGGAACAACAGGTCTTCCAAAGGGAGTTGTATTGACGCATGAGAATTTCACCTCGGCAATGGCCGGTTTCATAACAGCGTTTCAAATTACTCAGGATGATGTATTGATTTCTTATTTGCCATTGCCACATATATTTGGTCGATGCATGGAAGAAATTGTTGCCGCTGCTGGTGGAAGTATTGGTTATTTCCACGGAGATCCAAATGAGTTACTTCTGGACGTCCAAACTTTAAAGCCAACTGTGTTCCCAGCTGTTCCAAGGATATGGAACAAAGTTTATCATTCTTTAGTCGCCGCAACAATCGAAGCACCTGGTGAGGTGGGTAAAATATCGAGGATGGCCGTAGCAGAAAAACTAAAAAATCTTGAAGAGACAGGTGAACTGAAACATCCTGTGTGGGACGAGAAAGTCTTTAAAAAGTGTCGATTGGCAATTGGAGGGCGAGCTCGATTGCTTATATCTGGTGCAGCACCAATTGGCATAAATGTATTGCAATTTCTGAGAATTGCCTTTTCCGTTACATTTATAGAGGGTAAATTCTTTTATTTAGCTACAAATATAAGTATAGATATTATTTAATTTGTTATTTTATGAAAAATATAGGCTATGGTCAAACCGAAAATTCTGCAACTACCACTGCTACACTTTATGGAGAGAATAATAGGGCAGGTAGCGTTGGCATACCTCACATATGGTAGGAAATTAAGTTATTAGATAGAGTGCTAATTTATTTGTTGTGCATGCTCTTTTCATGTATTAATTTTCTAATTATAGTAATGAAATTAAGCTTGTTGATG